AGTTCTTCACGCAGCTGCAGGCAGATGTCAGCCGGGGCTGCAGACGTCTGAAGCTCAGCTGGGCTGAATGTTCACCGTGGTGTGTGCATGTGGCTGGCAGTTAACGCTGGCTGCTGGCTGGGAGCTTGGCTGAAGCTGTCAGTGGTACACCTGCAAACACTCGGCCTCTCTGGCACAGGCTAGTCTCAGGGTAGTTGTACTTCTTAGATGGTGGCTGGGTTTCCCCAGGACTCCCAACGGAAGTGGCATGACCAATTCTAATCTAGCCTCAGAAGTCACATAGCATTATTTCTGCCATACTCTGTTGGTCAAAGGAAGGTTTTGCTCACCCAGATTCCAGGGGAGGAGCATGGACTCCATTCCCTTGAAGTGTTAAAGAATTTGGGGCCTTTTTTAAAAATGCCTCCGTATCCCTATGGTCTGTAGAATCCTTCTCCTCTAGCCCAAGGCCCTGTGGCTGGAGCTGGCTCAATCTGTGTAGCTGTTTATGGCTGTTTGTTGGGGGGAGCATGATGGTGTGAGGGATTGGGGAGACACCCACACTTCTGATACTCCCTTTCCTTAAAACAGTGCCTTCTCTCCCCTCCTTCCTTGGCTTCTTTGCGTTTTAGGCTTTCAAACTAGCTCTGGGAGAATGACTCACTGCAAGGGTGATGGGGCCCCCAGAATGAAGCAGGCCCCATGGACTTACTCCAGTTGCAAGAAGGAAGGAAACTAATATTTAATGAGCACCTATTATATTCCAGTTTGGAAAGAATTCTATACTGGATTCCAGTAGGTTTTCCAGAAAGAGTTCATTTTTTCCTCCCAACATCTCTGCAAGGAAGCGTTGTTATTGTCATTCTCCCTATAGAAAGTGGAGGTTCAGAGGGTTCAGGGACTTGCCCCAGGTCATAGGGTTGGTGATAGAGTCATGATTCAAACCTACTTCATGCTACCTGCCCCGGGCAAGCATGCGTCAAAAGAAGTTGTCTCCGGGGCTTCCCTGGTGGCGCAGTGGTTGAGAGTCCGCCTGCCGATGCAGGGGACACAGGGTTCGTGCCCCGGTCCAGGAAGATCCCACATGCCGCGGAGCGGCTGGGCCCGTGAGCCATGGACGCTGAGCCTGCGCGTCCGGAGCCTGTGCTCCGCAACGGGAGAGGCCACAACAGAGAGAGGCCCGCGTACCGCAAAAAAAAAAAAAAAAAAAGTTGTCTCCCATGCCCCCCTCACGCCCTCCTCTTCCTCCCTGTCTGCTCTCTATACCCAGGGCCCAAGCTCAGCCATTCACTTCCCCATCAGAACTTAGCTGTTTGTGCCCCACTCAGGCACCAGTGACTGAAGATCTCTGGCACCCTGGAATAGGCCTGTTTCATGGGCAGCCACAAATTCTTTGGCCCCTTTCCCATCAACAAGCGGGATCTGTATGTCCTCCCATTAACTCTGGCCAGATGCTGTGACCCACAGAATATGGCAGAAGTGTCACTATGCCATGTTCCAGGCCCAGGCCTTAAGAAACTGACAGCTTCCATCTCCCATCTCTTGAATCGATCTCTCTGGGCACCTTGAGCCATCACAGACAAGTCTGGCCACCCAGAGATGAACTGTGCTGTGGAATCCACTTGTAGATGCTCGTCTGGGGACAGTCTGAGCCCAGGCTGCCAGCTGTTCTCACTGAGGTGCCAGCCATTTGAATGAATGTGAGCGAGGCTGCCTTGGACCCTCCAGACCAGCTCATCTGCCGGTTGAATACCACTGAGTGACCTCAACTGCCACTAGAAGAGCCACTCAGACAAGCCATACCTGAATTCCTCACCCCCAAAATCATGAGATATAATAGAACGGTTGTTTCAAGCCACTAAGCTTTGGAGTAACTTGATACACAGGAACATGCATTATCTCATTCAATCCATTCGTTATACCTGTCTTACAGACTAGGAAATTTAAGTTCAGAGGGGTTAAATAACTTGCCCTAGGTCTTTCAGGAAGCAGGAAGCCTAGCTGGCATTTGAACTTGAACTTGAGAAGTCTGACTCCATAACTCCCTCAAACCCAAGCATTTGTGATATCGCTTTTTAGTGGATCTATGTGTCCCTCCTGGTGGGAGCGTTGGCATTTCAACCCAAAACATTACTTTAAACAAATAATTGAATTCATTTTCAAGGAGTGATATTTTTAACACCAAGACATTCCCTGTTTAAGAGATATATGGGGAGATTTGAAGATGGGGGGGGCGGGGGAGGAGGGGTTCCCTTCCCCAAACTCAGGACAGTGAGCGCTGCTGATTTATTTATCTTTGTGTATCCATAGCTGACACAGAGCTTGTTCATGGTGGATACTTAATAAATGTTTGTTCAAGAATAAATTAGCCCACAAAAGAATAAGTGATGGAGTTGGACTAGACGGGTAAGTGGACCAAGACCTGGAGAGAAAGGTTTTCCTGCCATCTGGTGGCTATTCCTGGAACAACACTTTCTTCTCTGTGGCAGGAGAAGGAAATGGAACGTTCCTTGGGGGACTTTGGCGGTGTCAGGTATCAGGTAGCATCTTTCTAGACTGGAGTAGAGTGCCGTGTGGTGGGGCCTCCCCCAGGATCCATACTTCTTGTCTCTTCCAGTGTCTGTGCTCCTTGAGGGTAAGCAAAGAAGTAGTGCTTCCCTACCCCCAGGTCATTCTGTTCTCCAGAGCTAAGCATTCAGTAGGTGCTCAATAAATACTTGAGACTGAAATTTGTGAAAATAGGCAATGAACAGTCTCATATTTCACCTTTACCTTCTACTGAAGTTTGCAAAAAAGATAGCTACCTTGAAGAGAGGGGCCGTTCTCCCAGAACTTAAGTGGCCTGCTCCTGGCAAACCCTCAAGTCCCCGGCCATCCCCCACCTCAGTCTCAGGCCTCTGGACACTGGCGTCTTCCCACCCTCAGCCCCTCCCACCTCCCCCCTTGCAGAACTGACAGGCCTAGATGGCTGTCTTCCTGGCAGTAAGACAGGGTCGGAATTTTCCCTACGAGGTCCCGTACACGGACACAAAACACCATCCTCACATCAGACGAAGCCTCATTTGCCTCATCTGGAAAAACTTGGACAACAGCATATCTCCCTCAGAGAGCTGTTGCTCTGTGACCACACGAGCTTAGATGTGTGAAGTACTTGGAATCCGTAAGGCTTCCTACCAGTATATGCGGTTACCTGTCCTGGACAATTCCTAGAAAAATAAACACATGCCCCTCTTCATCCTACTCAGCCAGACAGCCAGACAGCCAGGCAGCCCTCAAAGTCCCACAGCGGTCCTCACCAACCCATCCCATCCAGGCTTTCAACCCAAAGCTGCCCTCGGGATCCACGGCCTCTCCCATCCCCTCTCCCTGATCCCAGAGCAGGTCAGAAAGGCAAGAGGGGTTTGGTAAGAACAGACACTTTATTGTACACCATGGGGGGTGTAGAGAGGAAGGAGGGGCTCCAGGGGTGACAAAGCCTCATCCCCTCCCCTGGGCTGAGCGGTCTGGACCCAGGGCTCTGACCAGCATGGGGCACGTGGACTAGAATTTTTCTGAACTTGCGCCAGAACCGAAAGTGACACCTGGCATGTGTGCATAGGATGAGAAGGGACGCTGGGCCCTTCTCCCCCATCCCCAGTCATTAGGCTCTGGTGAAGGGGCAGCAGCCCCCCCCCCCCCAGTTTGGGGGCCTGGTGGGCGCTCAGGGAGTCGGGTGCGTCCCAACATGTACTCCAGTGGGAGGGGGGAGGTGCAGCTGTGAAGAAGCTAGAGGGCAGCCCCCTCCCCGTACTAGTGCAGGCCTGCGTGGGCCTGGGACCACACAGCTTCTGGCCCCCAGCCTCACGGCCCGTAGGCTGAGTCAGGAGGGCCTCTCCTAGCACTAGTCCCCACGGACTTTTTGCTCGAGGGCAAAAGCCAACCTGGCTGACATCAACCTCTGTGCCCACCCGTCCACCCATCTGGGCCTCAGGCTTCACATTGCCTCAGTGGAGTGGGCTCCCTGGGCAAGAAGCTGGTGACTGGGGCTGGAGGGCGGGCAGAGGCAGGACCAGCCACCAGGGACTCTTTCAGGTACACCCCTGGCCTGCCCTGCTCTGCCCCGGAGTCTGCTCTGTCCCCTGTGGGCACTGCATGGACAGCACCGAAGTCAGTGGGGTGGGGACCCTGTGCTGGAACATAGGGCCTGCCCCTCTCTGGCCACGTCCTGCTCCTCCAGGGAATCTGGGGCTGGATCTCCCTCCGTCAGATGCCCTACCTGCTCTTGACCCCATCGGCCCCATCCACTCCCAGCTCCCCTGAGGAGTGAGCAGAGGTGTGTGTGTGTCAGAAGCACAGGGGAGGGGCGGCTGTTCCCCCTGAACACTGTCAGGGATGTCTCAAGGACAAACACAGGACAGAGGCGCGGTGAGATGATGCCCTCTTGGGGTCTCACCATCTTAAGGAACCCAGCACTTTCCCCGGAGCTGAAGACATTGTGTCTCCAGTGGGCACAGCGAGAAAATAAAATAAATGTGGGGACTTCCCCCACTCCCCTAAGATGCCTCATTCTCTGTTTCTTGCAAGCCCAATGGGGGGAAGGCAGCGAGTCACCAGTGAGAGGCATGTGCCTTTCCCAGGACGCGGGTTTCCCACGGAACCCTGCCCTGAGGCCTCGCCTGACGGAGCTGAGAGGAGAAGGAGGTGGCAGGAGGGCAGCGTGGCCTTCAGGAATGTGGTGAACACGGGGATCACAAGTCAGCACCCTACGCGCACCCACACCCACACCCACATACGTGTGCGTGCACACACACACGCACACACCAAGCTCGGGGCCCTACGTCTAATGGCAGAGATGCAGCAGGACAGGGCCCGGCCTACGGCAGCCGGCTACGAGCACTACCCAGCCCACGAGGACCAAGCTGACGGCCCCAGCTCAGCCGCCCTGTCACAGGCTGGCGTGATGGGGCCTGGTCCAGCCACACGCTACAAAATTAAAAATATATCAAATATACAATGAAAATAGATCTTTACAGCACTGAGGATGAAAATAGTCCACCAGCCACAGTATAATATTGGGTTTGTCATTTAACAGCATTTACACCCACATGTACAGATTGAATATACAATAGAAATAGAATATATAGAGTATATATAGTAGTGTCTCTCCTGGGGCCTTGCTTTTCCTGTTGCTATTTCTGCTTGGGATTAGGCACAGGGCCAGGTAGGAGGTGCTGTCAGGTGAGGGGGCCTAAGGCGTGATGTGGTGTCCCAGAAGCTCATGTCTTTGTGGAGATGTGGGACTCCCCCTCCCCCCACACACTCAGGAAGGATGGGTGGGGCTGAGAGGGCTGGAAATGGGAGCACGTGTGGGAGGAGGATGAGGAAGGGAGGTGGTCAGTGGACCCCAAGGGGGGCGGGGAAAACCAAGGGACTAAGGGGTGGAGGAGGGACCCCTGGGCCTAGTGTGTCCCTCCCAGGGCTGAGAGCAGTCAGGGGCACAAGAGTGACTCAGGACCCTTTGTGAAGGAGCCAGGCCTGCCCCTGCCCTGCCCACTGCAGCTCGCAAAGATGGAGGTTTGCTGTCCCAGCCAGTCTTCCTTCCTCCCCACCCCTCCTTCCTTCCATCCACCCATCCTTGCATCCTTTCATCAGTCCATTCATCTCTCTGCAGACTTCTGACCTCCAATCAGGTTCCAATCCTCTTAGCCTGCACTCCGAGGGCGGCCCTCTTCCGGGGAAGGCAAAGGTAAGCATGGGTGGGGTGCCGCAGGGCTGGGCCCCAGGACAGAGGCCCGGCCCTCCCCCTGGGCAGCTTCCAGTGGCCACAGCACGGCCTGTGCCCCCCACACCCCACCACGGGCCGGGCGGCTTGGGAAAGGTTTCCGAGGTGTCCACACACGACGTGCACACCGGGTGGCTGTGCTTGTACAAGGAGAGGGGCGGCGGCCCAAAGGGGCAGTGAAATTATCTCCTTCCCAGGTGTGAGCCCCTGAACTCCAGGGACTGCCGTTCCAGGGCAGAAGCTGCCGCTAGCGAGAAAGTCGGGCCCCTGGCGAGAGGGGAGGGGTTGTGCTTCACAGCTGTGCTCCAAACCATCTGATTTGTGCTGTGAGCCATCAGGTGTGCTCTAGAGACCTCTCCTCTCTCGAGGACAGAGGCAGAGGCCACGACTCTGGGCTCCCGGATGGGGGTGTGGGGAGAGGGCAGGCTAAGCTCTAATGGAGGTGGGAAGGGCTCTGGGGCCAGTCACTGCCCTACCAGGCAGGATGCGGGAGCACATCCCCCCACCCCAGGCAGGGCCAAGAACACTGGAAGGTCCACCTTGAGCCTGAGGCCAAGGAGCCCCCTCATCCCACCACCCCCGCTGCCAAGGCTCATGCTCTAAACCAGAGGGCACCGTCTGCCTCACCAAACAGAACTTGGGGATTTCTGCAGACTCCATCCCAAAGTCTAAGCCCTGAGTCCTGGCATCTCTGCCCCATCTCCAACCTTAAATTGGGCACCTCTGGAAAGGGACACCCCACCCAACCCATCCCTGAGCCACCACCACTACCTGGCAGCACAGACCTAAGGGACTCCAAGACCTAAGAACTGCAGGAGAGAGGGAGTGTGGAGTGACCCCTGGAGTGGCCACTTGGAGTCTCCCCTGTGCTGGGAATCGGGACATCTGGGCGGTTCCAGTAACTCAGATGTAGTTTGGTAAGGGGGTCTCTGAAGGTTAGCTGGGTTGGGGGCCTAGACTGGGGGACAGAGCTTCTCCCAGCCCCCACTCAGATCTAGGAAGCAGAAGTCGGCTGGGACTGGGGTGGAGGATGAGGCAGGGCAGAGCCCCTCCCCTTGGGCAGAGGGCCTGGCCTGGAAGGAAAAGCCAGGCTGGGACACGTGGGCTGGCTGGGTGTGGGAGGCAAGGCGGGCAGGGCGGGGCAGTGGTCACAGCTCCGACTCAGGGGTGCTGGCTAGGAGGTAGCCACTCCCATAGCGTCCATTGGGGTTGCCACTGGTCTCCAGGGGCGATGTGCTGCCGGGCCCCAGGTAGGAGCGGTGAGTGGGCATGGGGGAGGGCGCCTCGCTGGGCACCTTGCTGAGGATGAAGCGGGTCTCGTCGTTCTCCTCCAGGTTGGAGATGTCCTTCATCATGCGGCCCTTCTTGTAGGACACGGAGAGGGTGTTGGAGCCGTCGGAGAGCAGGTGGAAGTGCCGCAGAACGAACACCACGGGGATGGGCAGGACAGCCACGACGATGAGCGTGATCAGGAGAGCCATGGCCCAGTTAGGGAAATACAGGTAGCGCTCGGCAGCCTAGGGGTGGACACGGGTGAGGGCTGCTGCCCGCCCTGCCGCAGCCTCCCCCTCTCAGACTCCAGGACAACTTCCCCGCCGCACTCATCCTGGCCAGGCACTGGCAGAGATGGGGTTCATCAGGGGCTGCTCCTTGGGGGAGCTGGTCCCCTTGGCTAAGGGCCTGAGCCTCCCTGGGTCTCAGTTTCTGCACTTGTAAAAAGTTGGGGTGGTTCCACTCCATGGACTCCACAGGGAGAGAAAACATGGGTTAGAAAGACTGGACAAGTGCGTTCACCTTTCTGACCCTCAGTTTCCCCATCTGTGTGACAGCGATAACACCACCTCTCTCTTTGGGTTGTTGTGAAGGTTACAGATCAGCTGTGCAAAGCCTCTGGCAGGGTCTGGCACCGAGTAGTTGCCCTATAAGGGGTTATCTCTACCACCTGTGGCATTAAAGGCCTGGGAAGATGCCAATGGCCCTGGGGTTTCAGGCCCCCGCCTCTCACCTCCTCCTTGATCCAGGCGCTGTAGCCCGGGGGCGTGACCCCCAGCTGGATGATGCTGGCCGTGGTGAGCACAGCCATGCACAGCGGAGACACGAACTTCCACATGTAGAAATAGAAGCGGTAGGGCTGGAAGCCCAGCATCTCCGTCAGCTCCTGCATGAACCTGCCAAGCACAGCGCAGGGTCCAGAAATTGGCACCCCCACTATGCCGGCACATGCCCCCCAGCCACCTCCTCCAGGAAGCCTTCACTGACCAGTCCCTCCCTCCCAGGCTATTACACTCTTCGCATTCAATACATTATTCTGTGGCCCCACTGGCCTCTGAAAAGGCTCTTTTGTCCTCCCCTAACTTCCTCTGACTATGTCACGTCACACCTCACCCAGGGATATGATACAGCCCACAGGACACGCCCTGGGCAGGTGGACAGGCTCCAGAGGGCTTTGCTGGGCACCCGGCCCACCTGGTGCTGGCCTGGCTCTAGACTCCCCCTGCTGGAAGAGAGGTAGAAGTGCACATTCCTAGTGTCCAAAGGCAGAAGGCCGTCCTGACTCAGGGATGCCTAACCACTGGGCATGTGGGTGAAATTCCGGGAGGCTGGCAGGCTGTGTACATGAATAGCATTAAAAAAAAACCATCTTTACCTCAGTAACACCTAGGTGAAATTTGCATTTCTTTCTGTTATAAGTGCAAGCAACAACAGTAGTATTAAGAGTACCCAAGATGCTGTAAGCAATTGATTAAATCACAGATATTTCCCTATCACATTACAATTGAGATACCGACAAACATCATTTGGGCTCATCACTGCTTTGAAATTACCATTGTTATTAGACCCACAGCTAGATCTTGTAACTTAATGCAGTAAAAATAAAGTACACGTATACTACTGTATCACAGATTTTAAACATTATTATGCTAATTTTCAATATAACTAGTTTCCTATATAATCTTATATATTTTATCTTGTGCATTAAAAAATAACAGTCTGAGAAGGGGTACGGGGCTTCACCAGACTGCAGAAGAGGGAGAGCCTTTCCAGCAGCATGTTCTAACCCCGGCTCACAGGGTCGCTCTCTGTCTTATCAGCCCGTTCCCTCCTGCACTCTCCTAGGAAGTAGATGGCTGTAGCAGGGCCTGTGAGAGTCTGATTCTGAGACCAGGTCTAGACATCGGGGTGGGTCAGGCTGAGTGGGTTAGAGGAGCCCCGGGCGTTGCTGAGTGAGTGAAAGGACTTCCTGGGGACACAGATTTGTCCTGAAATGAGGAATGAGGCCAGGGGCTGACAGTGTGTATAGGTTTCCCTGAGGCTCAGGCTACGAGACCCAATCCTTTCATATTGCTGAATTCTCTTACCCCCACCCAACCCCAAACTTAGGGCCCAAACCACACATTGTCTCACACTCCTTTGTAGCTCACTCTAGAACTATGAGTCAGGCTGCTGAAGTCAATGGTTTCTTCGAGGGCAGGGGCCTCTTGTGTACCCACCAAGTGCTTAACGAGCTTGACAGAGTTCTGAAGAGTTGGTACCCAGGAAAGATGCTATGGTAGTTTAAGCCCATTCAGGATGATGCCAGTGCCTGAATCCAGAAGACTCATGTCCTCAGCCTGGCTCTCTCTCTCATCAGCCCAGTGGCCTTGGACAGTCGTGTCCTCTCTCTGAGACTCAGTTTCCCTAAGTGATCTGTAAGGGCACTTTCTGGCTGACATTCTGACTCTGTGATCTCCTGCGCCACTCATGAGCAGCCCTGGGAACACAGCACTCTCCAGGGAGTCATGATGGGTGGGATAGACCCCTCCTCCTGTCCCCAGCTCTCCCCCATGTCCCCCTTACTTCTTGGTTCCATAGATCCAGGCCACAGCGACGTTCTCAAGGATGACGATGACGGTGAGTGGCAGGGTGGCCGAGTAGTCATCAAACATGGTGACAAAGTAGTTTCCGGAGCGCTGGACGAACAACAGCCCCACGAAGAAGGCAAAGACACAGCAGCCCACTACAGAGAGCCGGGAGGCCGGTATGGGGCCAAAGGTGCAGGGTGGGTGGTGCCCCAGGGGTCTTAGGGGCACCCAGGTCCCTCCCCATCTCACCCCTCCTCACAGCAGGCCTGCAGCCCACCCTCTGGTAGGTCCAGCCCTGCATGGAGGTGGGGAGGGGGTCCAGATGCTGAGGTTCTGAGCTCCTACTCTACTAGGCAGGGAGCACCCTGGGGCTGGGAGTGACAGGGATGGAACAGGGTGCAGGGCCTGCATGGAGGAGGCCACCCCTGCTAAGACACCTCAGCAGGCCCTTGGGGAGAAGGGCAAACAAACCAAGAAAGAGGCCTATCTCCCAGCCCAGGTTTGGCACAGATGCCCAAACAGCCTTCTCCCTTCCGGCTCTGAAGTGCTCTTCTCTGGGTGGCGTAGCCAGGCTCCAGCTGTGTGCCGGGTTGGGTGGGGGGTGGGGGGGGTGGAGCTTTCTAAGTATGGAGTCATGAATAACCCAGTGGGAACCCAATCTTTCTACAGTCAGAGTCACAACCTGTTCACTGTTCCCCTGGACAGCCCACAAGCCCAGTGGGGGCTGCCGGGAGGAGTTACCTGTGAACATCTCCTTGGGCACCTTGAAGGTGTCGATGATGGGCGTGGTGATGCCCGCCATGGTCCCGATCATACTGCCCAGGCCCAGGTTGATAAGCATCAGGAAGAACATGACGGACCAGAACGGGGAGGCGGGGAAGTGCGTCATGGCCTCCGTGAAGGCGATGAAGGCCAGGCCTGTGCCCTGCACGGACTGAGGGTGGGTGCGGAGGGCGCGGCTGAGTGAGGGTCCACGCCCACCTGGGGGCCCCCTGCTTCCTTATCTCTGCCCTCAGAGCTTTAGGAATATAGCTGTTCCCTCCTTCACAGAGATCCCCGCCCCCCTAAATCCTCTTGCTTTCAGCCAGTGGGTCTCAAATGTGAGTGGGCATCAGAATACCCCCCAGGGAGTAAAACATTAATTCAGGACTTCACCTGTGGGGTCTGGAATCTACGAGTTGTCCAAGGACCCCAGGTGATTCAGATGAAGATGCTCACTTTTAGAAACACACCCAGCTCAAGACTCTCCTCCTCTAAGCAATGCAGCCGCCCCCAGCTCTGAACGCCAGACTTTACCGAAGTGGTCTCAGCCTCAGCTGCCCAATGGACTCATGTTGGAGCCTTTTAAAAACACTGATGCCTGGGTCTCTCCACGAGGACAATGATTTGTTTGGCCTGGGGGTAAAGCTGGGTATCAGGGTTTTATAAAGCCCCCAGGTGACTCTGATGGGCAGCCAAGGTAGAGAACCACTGCTTTAATGCCCAGGTCCCTGCTCACAGGGAACTGACCACACACTGTCAGCTGACATCACTTCTGTGCTATCCTGTAGTGTCTGCGGACTGAGAGGGAACACCTCCCCAAACTGTGAGAGTGTAGTTCTTGTCATTTAAATGTTATCAAGATTGTATTATGTAAAAAAACTGCTACGGGGACTTTCCTGGTGGTCCTGCGGTTAAGACTGTGCTCCCCATGCAGGGGGCCCGGGTTCTATTCCTGGTCAGGGAACCAGATCCCGCATGCCGCAACTAAAGATCCCTCATGTCGCAACTAAAGATCCCACACGCGGCAACGAAGGTCCCACACATGGCAATGAAGATCCCACACGTGGCAATGAAGATCCCGCATGCCACAACTAAGATCCTGCACAGACAAATAAATAAATAAATGTTTTTTTAAAAAGTCTGCTACCATCCTACTTCTTCTTTTTTTTTTTTTTTTGCGGTGTGCGGGCCTCTCACTGTTGTGGCCTCTCCCGTCGCGGAGCACAGGCTCCGGACGCGCAGGCTCAGCGGCCATGGCCCCCAGGCCCAGCCGCTCCGCGTCATGTGGGATCCTCCCGGACCAGGGCACGAACCCGTGTCCCCTGCAACGGCAGGCGGACTCTCAACCACCGCGCCACCAGGGAAGCCCTACCATCCTACTTCTATTCAGAGGACCCGGCCACGCCTGTGAGAATGGGGCAGGGTCTCAAGCAAGGGCGCCGTCCTTTATGCTGCCAGTTACCTGGGGAAGAAACCAGGGCAGGGGTGCCCAGACATGGCCCTTTCACTCTTGATCACATGGGAAGAGCTCACAGGCGACACAGTCCCTCAGCATTAGGCTGGCGCCAGTAGAATGCAGCTGACTTTTTCACGAGCGCAGGGAAAGCGTCATCTTCCCTGGCTCCACGGAGAAGGGGAGGGTTGATCGAGGCTGACTGAGAGGAGCTGGCTCAGCCCCATGTGAGCCCTGGCACCAGCTGGATCCCAGGACCCCGTGGGTATGTCTCTCTCCTGTTACCCCTCCTAACAAAACAGTCACTTTGAAAGTTTCCAGCTGTGCAAACGGGGATAGAAGCAAGGTGTCCAGACTTGGGCCTGCACGTTAATGAGGGGCAGCATTGCCCTGCCCTCCCCAGGGGCTAAGGGTCCCTGTGGCAGTGGGAGTGGGGCAGCTGGGGGAGGGGCAGAAACATCAAGATTTGAACCCTGGCTCCCCTACTTCTTAGCTGTGAGACCTCAAGCAGGCTCCCAGCTTACAGGCTGCTCGCCTGTAAAACAGGAGACAACGTTAATACTCGGCTCACGGCTCTGTCACGAGGGCCCAGGGGATAGACAGCAAAGGGCAGACGCTAATGTAAACACTTACTTTCTGCGTGCTGTGTCCAAGGCACTGTTCCAAACGCATTACACGTGGCAGAGACGGGTGCGCAGGAAACCCATTCAAGACACGTGAAAGCCGTCCCCGTTCCCGTTGATTTCTGGGACTTGTGCACCTGCCTCGTCTTCTCAGAGAGACTCAGCCTACCTCAGGGCAGGGGTTTTGGCCAACACCTTCCCTCTGTGCTTCTCTGGGCACATAGTAGGTCCTCACTTATCAAGTAAAAAAATGAATCCCTGGAGGCTTTCTGCACCCAAGCTCCAGCCACCCATGGCTTGTCTCTGGGTCTTGCACTCCCACACCTGCCTTTCTGCCCATCCTGGAAGGACAGCCTGACCCATACCTTGTCCAGCTCATCCTCCAGAAGGCAGGGGTCGAGGCCCAAGGCTGAGAAATGGTCCTCCTTCACGGTCTTGATGACCTTGTACATCTCCGCGTAGTCCTTAGTGGTCAGGTGAGAGAAGTTGACGTGAGGAGGGATGAGGGCCCGGCTCAGGACGTCGGTGTTGAGGTACCCCAGGATCTTCTCGGCATTCCTGCAGCACAAAGGAAAGGGTAAAGTCAAAAGGTTTAAAACAAAAGAATTGAAAAAAAGGTAAAAAAAAAAAAAAGTTCAGGTAAAAAGGCAGGACTGGGCACCATCCTGGGGGTACCTCCTAGACACCCAGGCAGGATGCCATGGGCATCGACGGAGACATCTCTGAAGCTGTCCCTGTGGTCCAGGGCTGGGGACAGAGAGCTCCTCTGATCTCCATCGCCCAGTGCGGGTGGAGGGGGACTCTCCCAGGGGAAGGTGGACGGCGAGAGAAAAGGACAGGAGGAGAAAGGGGCCACCTACTCGACCACACACTTCTCGTTCATGATGTTGGCCTTGAAGCCCAGCACAGCGAACACCACGAGGGTGGCCAGCACCGAGGTGAAGAAGTTGATGAAGGACACCAGGGCGGCGTCGAAGTGGCAGTTGTTGTCCTGTTTGTTGTAGCTGGAGAAGGCGATGACACCCCCAAAGCCTAGCCCCAGGGCGAAGAAGACCTGTGTGGCTGCCTCCCGCCACACCTGGGGGTCCAGCATCTTGTCCAGCTGTGGTGGGGGAGGGGCGACCATGGCAAGGGAAGAAAAGAGACACAGAGATCATGGCTTAGGGAGTTCCCTGGCGGTCCAGTGGTTAGGACTCGGTGTTTTCACTGCCGTGGCCCAGGCGCAAACCCTGGCCGGGGAACTAAGGATCCTACAAGCAGGCGGCGCAGCCAAAAAAAAAAAAAAAAAGATAACGGCTTTATTCTCGTGCAGTGGAATTCCCACCACACCCCAGTTCCTCAGCCTCACGGAGTCCAGAGGCAGCGTGGCACAGTGGTAAAGAGCTACGTGCGGCCTGGGCAATTCCTCTAACACCCCCTGAGCCTCAGGTCTCCTATGGGTAAAACACAGATAGCGAGAGCATCAGGAATCTAAAAAATACAACAAAGTAGTGACTATAACAAAAAAGAAACAGACTCACAGGTATACGGAGAACAAACTAGAGGTAATCAGTGGGGAGAAGGAAGGGGGGGCAAATAGGGGGAGGGGATTACGAGGTACAAACTATTGTTTATCAAATAAGCTACAGGGATATATTGTACATCACAGGGAATATAGCCAATATTTTATAATAACTATAAATGGAGTATAACCTTTAAACATTGTGAATCACTGTATTGTATACCTGTAACATATAATATTGTATATCAACTATACTTCAATTAAAAAAAAGAGTATCAGTTTCAGATGATTGTTGTGAGCCAGGTAAGATAAAATAAACGCTACATGCTTACACAGTAAGTTTTCGGTTAATTTTAACTGCTATCGTTGCTTACCATGGAGCTATCATACCAAGGAACATCTTCAAGGCCATCAGGAATGATGTGTAGGGCAAACTCTAGGGAGTGACATTCACTTAGACTATAGTGTGAATGGTGCCTCCTGGAGTCGGGCAGTATACAGCCTGCACAACTGTACAAGACAACTAAGAACACAAACGTCTCCCTCCTCCACCTCAAACCATGAAAAAAGATACCAACCTCTCCCTCCTGCCCACCCAAACTCCCTTTTCCAAAAAAGAAAAAAACCTTAAGTTCATTCATATACATCTACAGGCCCTAGATCACAGAAGAATCACCCCCAACCCACCCAGCTTGAAGCACAGAACCCAGACACTTCCTGGAGAGGGGAGCCCCGACCTGACCTGTCCATCTGCCTTCAGACCCAACAGGCGCCAGGACGTCCACAGTATCTAGATGGCTTGGGGCAATTTCTAAACGCGTTTCATGTCTGTTTTCCTTTTACTGTTTGTTCCTCAATGCAGGGACTAGGGCTTGGGCCCAGTGTAGGGTTTTAGAGTCAGAAAGACCCAGGTCTAAGTCTGACTCCCTCTTTAAAGAGCTGAGAAGGCTTAGGCAGGTGATAGTGCCTGTTTTATGAGCCTCCTGAAAAATGGGAATAATAACAAAGTCTCCCTCCAAAAATGATTCTGAGGACCAAATGTACAGTCTCAAGTAATGCCTGGCTCATAGGAGCATTTAATCCTGACAAAATGCCTCTGACCTGCTCAGGACAGAGGTGGGTTTTGGGTTCTTTGGGGGTTTTTTTTTTTGTTTGTATTTTTTGGTGGGGGAAGGAATTGTTATCTACATTTAGAAGAGTAAACTAAGACCCAAAGGTGAAATAACTCACTCGAAGTACTGGAGCCAGCCAGCTGGGGCAGAGGAGTTACTAAAACACAGATCGTCTGACATCAGGCCATGGCGCCCTCCTAGCACCATCTCCTGACTCAGCTGGTCTGCCGCTATACTCCTCAGACCACTTTCCCTTTGGACCTTTGCTGCTGAGGTGGACCCAAGTGACTTCACTCCAAACAGAGGAGGGAGGCAAGGAGCGAACTAGAGAGTCTACTACTCACCCTGTGGGCACAAGCCCCAAGTGGTCCTGGCCCGGTTGCCCCTTACTGCATGCCTATAAGAGAGTCTGTTCCTTGTGTGTACAGTAAAGTGATGGGCTTAGGGTCCATCCAGCTCTAATATTTCAGTCCTCACATCTAGGACAGAGGCCCACCATCTCACCAGCTTCCCAGGCGTGTCTGAGCACCAGGAGTCACTGCCCAGCTGAGAAGGCGTTGGCAAGCTTGGAGGCTGGCAGAGCGATGGGCTAGGGGAGGAGGAGGGAGATGCATTCCAGGGGAGATTACAGTCCCTCAGTCCACACAAAATAGGTAAAGCCATCTTTGGCCCACCAAGAAAGCCCCGAGCCCAGACCTTAAGGAGCCAAGAGCCCCTTGTCATTCATGAGGAGGTGACACCCTCCCACCCCCTCCCCCTCGCTGTACACTCAACAGCTGTAACGTGTGTGGGCTCCCTGTGGATACGACATGCAGTCACTCGTCCATCAAACCCTGAGCACCTGCTGTGGGCCAGGCCTGGTACTGGGTGGTGGGGAGCCACGAGGAGCAATAGGAGGCAAGGTCCCAGCTCGCGTGGAGCTGACATTCTGGTTGGAGAGATGGACATTGGTCAAATGACCCCATAAATAGATGCTAAGTTGCAAAAGTGACAAGGGCTGGGAAAGCCAGGTACCTAACGCTGGGAGATACTGTGATAGGGGGATTTGAGTGAGTTAGGAGGTCAGGGAAGGCTTCCAGAGGAAGGGATCTTTGAGCTACCCTTGCTAAAGGGAGGGAAGAGCATTCAGGCAGAAGGAACAGTGTGTGCAGAGGCCCTGAGGGGGGACGGAGGAGGACACCCTCCTCACACGGGGAGCTATGTGTGTAGGGAAGCAGAGAGGACAAGGCAGGAGTGGCACAGGCGAGGCTGGGAGAGTCAGAGGAGTCACAGCAAAGGCCCATAAGGATCCTTGTCTTGATCCTAAAAAGGCACTTAACCAGGGAAAGCACGAAGGGGTGTGAAGGAGGAGGGAAACAATCGGGATGGGCATTTCTTAAAGAAACCAGTGGATGCAGCAGATCTGCGAGGAAGCACATCCTGGGATTCAGGTGGCAGGTCATGGTGGTGTTGCCTAGGGTCAGGGTGGTGAAGACAGAGAGGGTATAGCAGGAAAAAACAAGTCTACCTTAGTGACGGACTGGAGTTGGGGGGCGCTGGAAGGGGAGATGCCAGGGTGACGGCCACAGCTCTGGCCTGCAGACCTGAGCTGGTGGATGTGGAAACAGCGGAAGAGGGGTCAGTGTCGAAGGGGTTAGAACAGGGAAGATCAAAGCATCCCTTCTAGAAATGCTGAGTTTAATGCGTCCGTAATGTAAGGTGGATAGCTAGTGGGAAGCAGCCGCATAGCACAGGGAGATCAGCTCTGTGCTTTGTGACCGCCTGGAGGGGTGGGATAGGGAGGGTGGGAGGGAGACGCAAGAGGGAGGGGATATGGGGATATATGTATATGTATAGCTGATTCACTTTGTTATAAAGCAGAAACTAACACACCATTGTAAAGCAATTATACTCCAATAAAGATGTAAAAAAAAAAATGATATCTACAAGGAGATGTCAAGCCAGTAGTTAGACAAATGAGTTTGGAATTTCGAGGAGAGCGCTGAGCTGGAGGTATAATGTGTGCGTAGCAGGTGTACAGGCAGTGATTGCCCTGAGGCTGTGGATAGAGTGAGAAGAGGCAAGAGCCTGGGGCAAGTCAACATCTGCAAGTTTAAAGCAGGGAAGAGGATCTTACAGGGAGGGAGAGGAGGCCGGAGGAAAAGCAGGAGAGGGCTGGATCAGGAGGCCATGGGAAGAAAGGCCGCCAGGGAGGAGCGGGGACCCCTGCTATGGAGTGAAAGATGCTACAGCCACGAGGTCATGGGTGAGCTTAGTCGGAGCTGTACAGGGAGCAATGGGGCCAGAAGACAGAGAGGAATGAGGAGAGTTGAGAAGCAGAGGGGAGGAAATGGCGGACACTCTGGAGAAGCTAGGCTTGGAATGAAAGGCAGGGCAGTATCGGGGGAAGCCTACGAAATCTGGAGCGTTGCTTTTTGATTTGTTGTCTCGTTTTTGTTTTTAATGCAGTGACTTGACGATACCTAAAGCTGATGGAGGGCAGCAGACCTAGAGGAGGGAAGAGGAGCTATCTGCCATAGGGGACCCTTGAGCTGCTCACCTGGGAGACGACAGAAGGAGGACAGGATGGGGCAGCTGTGGGCAGGGCTGTATACATATTCTGTTTCTGTCTCCACCATCTAAGGGAGTTTTCGTCTTGGTGGCTTCTGTTTTCCCCATAAAGCAGGAGGCAAAATCAACTGTTGGGGGTAAGGTGCACTGGGAGGAGAGGTCAGAAGATTCAGACAGTGGAAGGGGTTGAAAATGTTCACCATGGAACACAGGAGAGAAAGATGGCCAGAGAAATGGCGCAGGGTCATTCCACACTGTTGAGGGCCCGCTTGCAGTGTCATCTTCTTTACAAAAGTGGTACAGACCTGCATCTCCTCATCTAAAAGCCTTGGGACCAGACTGGTTTTGGAAACCAGTTTTGTTTCCAATTTTATCGTCGAAAGGTAATATGGTGCATATGCCACATAATTACATAACACCCCCCATGGGGTCTGGGGCAGCACCCTGTAATCAGACACATTAGTATTTCTGCAGCAGAATATGAATATTCACACCAAGTGAATCGATAAAGACTATAAATAGTCTCACATCTGTTCAGGTCATTTTGTCGCCAAATGAGTTCTGGGAGAAAGAAAAAAAATTTTTTTTGTTTTTCAGGGCTATTTGGATTTTGGAACTGTGCATAAAGAAATAGGCGCCTATACACGCTCCTAATAGAAATCTGGAGATTATTTTAAAAGGGAGAACAAAATAATCATAGTTCCACTGGGAAAGGACTTCTGTACCTCCCTTCTCCTGGGTGGGTTTTTGTGTTTTTCTAAATGATCCTCTCAGAAGGTTCCAGAAATGGGTAGATTACTTATGTCTGGAAGGCGTGCTGGTATTCACTGAAGTTCACGGATGTCAGTCATGACAGTCCTACCAATCCGCTGGAACCTCAGGCTAAAAAACCTGGACCTAGTGGGAGGGCTCTGGGTAGTTTGCAGAGTTCCAACTAGG